GGTCTTTGGGTGTGATCTGCAAAAGAGGAAGGAGGGGGCAACGGCGGAGGGATAGAGGGAGACCGTTCCAGAGTCTCGGGGTGCAGTGGCTGGAAGCACGGCCACCGATGGCGGAGCGGAGGGCAGGAGGGACAAGCAGGAGGCTGGAGCCAGTCGAGCGGAGGTGCGGATAGCGGGTTGAGGAGTAACCAGGTGGTAGGGCATGAGACGGTCTGTAGGTGTTCACTGGCGGCACACAACGAGGTGATGGGGAGTTTTCAGGGAAATATTTACCCATGAATAGGCCTTTTGTGTTGGTGAGCAGTCTGCACCACGGCAAACATGGAGAGGCAACTCCCAGGAGAGGGCTGGACAGAGTCTCTCACACTCACACACTCTCTCACACACACACACTCAGATATACACACACTCGCTCACTCTCACACACTCAGTTACACACACTCTCACACACTACACATACTCTCGCACACGCACCACACACATCCATCCACCTACACCCTACAAACGCACAGTTCCTACACTTTACAGCAAATCCTGGGAAGTGCTTTGAAATGTCCTCCTGACCCGAAAGCCGCTGCGTCAAATGCACGTTATTGTTATAATTATACACTTGCGTCTCGTCCCGTTCGCCCCATCCAATCCGCACTCCTCTCACCAGCAGTGTCGGCCTTCGCACAGCTCCCGACGGTAATAAACAGGCAAACTAACCGCAGCCAACTTCATAACAGGGCGTGTGGAGAGCAAACCAACCGTGTCCGCAGCTGTCACACGGGCACAGCAAACACGTAGGTACAAGTGTGTGTGTGTGCGCGCGTGTGGCAGACTGCGTGTGTGTGACTGTGTGTGTGTGTGTGTGTGTGTGTGTGAGCAACTGTTAGTGAATTTGTGAGAAACGAACTCACTAATTCACTCGCTAAGTAACTCACTGATTCACTGGTGTGCACGCGTGTGTGTGTGTGTGTGTGTGTGTGCGTAGCAATGTTCACACAGCAATGTCCCGCAAACAGCCACGAAACGAACAACCGGTTTTATATGGAGGATTGTTGGCCGAGAGAGAGGGAAATCCTTTTCTCTTTTCGAACAGCGCCTCGGGATCTCTAACGTCCACCTGAACAGCCCGATGGGACCTCGGTTTAATGTCTCATCCAAAGGACGGCACCTGTGACAATGCAGTACACACCCCCAGCGCTGCACTGGAGTGTCAGCTTAGACTACGTGATTCCGAGTCCCGAAGTGGGGGCTCGAACCCACAACTTTCTGACTCGGAGGCCACAGTTTGGCCCAGTCGGGTGTGAATCGTGGTTGAGGTTCATAAATATCTCGGGCAGGAAGTGGGGGGGGGGGGGGGGGGGAGACACGGAGGAGTTCAATCATCCCGGTATTGTTCAGTTTACACGTGACGTCCAACAATCCGTAAAGCCCCAACCAACGCTGAGGGATCTTTAACCTCCACCTACATGGGCAGCCGGACCTATTAACACCAATACGGCCCGCCCCACTGCGCCCCCCCCCCACCCGGGCTATGTGTCTAGACTCCGTGTGGGTTCAAATCTCGACGTGGGGCTTGAGTCCAACCCCAGAACCAAATGACACACACATATATATATATATACACACACCATATCCCCCCCACAAAAATATGGCCACTCAATCCACGACTGTGTGTGGGACGCTGCTGTGCGTAATTGGTTGCTTGCGTTTCGCCCACAAAATATACGCTCAATTCACTTTGCAGCGTCTCTCGTGAAGGGCTTCGAGACGTCTCGAAGACGTGACGAGGCGCTGCGTCAGATGCGAGGATTATTAGTATTATTATTATTATTATTATTGGAAGCACGTCCCAGGGTGCTGGATCCCCAGGATGGTGTCTGGGCGCCGGGAGAGCTGACACCAACACAAACTCACCCCAACGAACAAACAGCAAACAGCCAAAGCTGCGCTCAGGACGGCTTAGCATCACGAGGACCTGCGGCTGCTCTCTCCCAGCTCAACGCACAATGCTTTCCTGTTATTATTGTGGTTAATCTCCCTGTTCCCACCCCGCACACCCCTCCCTTCCCTCGCTCGCCCCCCCCCACCCCCTCGCCTTCCCCGCCTCTTGCTTTCCCCGCTGCTCCCCGACCAGCTCTGTACTTTGATAATTGTGTAATCACTCGGTGCTGTGCAATTTTATCATCCTGAAATCTTAACTATGAGGAAGCCGGAGGTGTGTGTGTGTGTGTGTGTATGGGTGTGGGTGACAGTGATGTGTGTGTGAGGGTGGCGTGTGTTGTGTGATACGTGTGTGAGAGGGTGGTGTGTGTGTGTGGTGTGTGTGTTGTGTGTGAGGGTGGTGTGTGTGTGTGTGGGTGGTGGTATGTGTGTGTGTATGTACATGTGTGAGGGTGGTGTGTGTGTGCGGGTGTTATGTGTGTGTGTGTGTGTGTGTGGTACGTGTCAGGGTGGTGTGTGTGTGTGTGAGGGTGCTATGTGTGTGTGTGTGGTAATTGTGTGTGTGTGTGTGTGTGTGTGGGTGGTACGTGTGTGTATATGTGTGTGTGTGTGCTATGTGTGTGTGTGTGTGTGGGATGGGATGGGTTTGTGTAAACTTCCTGGCCACTCCCTAGTTGACGTGATGTTGACTCGCTGAGCTCTGCTTTGAACGGTTCAACCGATGGTAATAAGCTTTCAACTGTGCAGAGCTTGCGTTTCGCCCACAAAATACAGTCACTCCACTTTACATTATATCCTGTGAAGCACTTTGAGACCTCTGAACGACGTGATAAGGTGCTATTATATCAAATGCAGAGATGATTATTGCTATTACAGTAAACCTCCCATAAATTGGGACCATAGATTTAGTCTGACTTATGAGTTAATAATAATAATAATAATCCTTGCATTTGATATGGAGCCTTATCACGTCGTCAAGACGTCTCAAAGCGCTTCACAGAATATGCCGCAAAGTGTAGTGACTGTGTGTTTTGTGGGCGAAACGCGGCAGACAATTGCGCACAGCAGCGTCGCAGAACAATCGCGTAGTGCGTGACCAAATTATTATGATGAAGGGATTATTACCCCCTTATTATTACTACGTCGAACTTGCATAGAATAACCTGAGGCATTTATCCAATGTATCCACCCCACCCTACCCCCACCCTTCAGCAAAGGAGGTTACAGACATCTCGAGCGCTTCGCAGGATCTTACTGTGAAGTGCAGTGACTCTGTTCTGGGGGATTGTCGGCCGGGACGCTGGGAGGGAGAAGCGCCCTTCTCTTCCACGTCCACCTCAACAGGCGAAGGCACCTTATCACGTCTCCGAGACGCCTCGAAGCAACACGCTGCAAAGTGAATCGACTGTACGATCGGTAGGTGAACCGCGGCAGCCAATTCACACAGCAGCGTCCGTCCGGCCAACAGCTGTGGGTTGAGTGACAAAATCTTTTTTTTTCTTGGAGCGGTGGCGGGAGGATCATTACCCACGG